CATAAGACTAATTTAGACTAAAGAAGGTGTATTTAACATCCTATGCATGTATTTGAAGTTGGTAAAACTCGATTAATTTTGGTTTAAGATATTATTGATTATTTATCACGTATGGTTATTTTTTCAAAAACAATCAAGATAAGGTTGTTTCAGCAAATTGAATTTAATATAGTTGGCTGAAATAAATAAACAAATAAAATAAAACTACATGTACTACTAATGTCTGGTGGTTTCTTTTATTAAAATATTGGTTTTAAATTCACCAAAAATTACAGAATCAAAAACAAAACGATTAATTGTTATACATCTAAATTATTAGTCAGTTGTGCGACAAATAAACAAGTTCGACAATTAAGAATACAACAAATTTACCTTAGACTCTAATACTATTCATAACTATCAAAATGAATAAATCGTTTTTAAACTTCTTTTAAATATAGTAAAACCTTCCATTAGTAGATTAAACAAAAAAATTGAATACATCAATAGTGGTTATAAAATTATTTCTTTTTTCCCCTTAAATATGTGTTTTTAATTTTGATTAGTTGAAACATCTCTTAATAAGGGATTTATTAATGATAGGTTTTACTGAAATAAAAACAATAAAAATAAATAATATTAAAAAATAACGATTTTAACCTTATACCAATAATATAAATTATAATACATTTGAAATGTCATACTTTTGAACAACGTTAATTTTTAATTTTATTATTTTTAAAAACAATTAAAAAAACAATGAGACATACGCAAATAAAACATCTAAAATTTAAAAAAAATGCTTTCAAAATATTATAAAATATATTAATTATCTTAAACATATAGTATATTTATTTAATATTTTAATAATAATTTGTATCTTAAAGTTTAACCTTCATTTTTTGTTTGAAATAAACTTAAACAATTACAAAAACTTTTATTATTTATGAAATAAATTAAAAAACATTATAGATATACCACGTAATTCAAACGAATGTGACAAAATATACTCGAATTTATCAAAGATTATCACGATAACAAAAACTCTGTTTATTGTTTTTACACAAAACAATTTGTTTTGAATTAAAAATGTATAAAATTTAATTAGTTTTACCAACCAAATGTTATTGAAATGGTATTATATAATATACTTGTTATTTTAACAATTCACATATACAATTCAATATATTGTTTGCATAAAAGTTATAATTTTTAATAAATTGTTATTATGTTAACCACATAAACTCAAGAGGATAAATTATATCAAAAGATTAATTTATAAAAAATATAAGAAATAATAAAAATAACCAAAAAATATCTTTTGGAAATTATTACTTTATTATTATTTCGTTCTCTTTTTTTAATTTATTAAAAAATAAGAATGAAATAATAATAATAAAATTTTATAATGTTATTAAACATTATAAATTTTTTTAAAATAGAGTAGCCAAATTAATTCAAAAATCTATTTTGTTTTAAATCATAATTTTAAACAATATTATGGTTAAATTATTGTTTATGATACCAGAATTTTAATATTATATTTTATCAATTTATTGACAAAAACTTATATAAACCGTGGATTTTAAAATCGTTTTGTTTGAACATTTTAATTACGTATTCTTTTTGTACTTCTTTCTTTTAAATAAGTCGGTATTTTTCCTTTTCACCTTAAAAAAGTACAAAAAGAATATTACCAAGTTATTTTAAGAAAAATTATAGTAAATTATAAATTAAACATATTTGTTTTTCATAATATATATATCATATTATTTATTTCCTTTTATTGCAAAAAACATTAATAAATAATTTTTTTAATATTATTGTTTGGGACTTATTTATAAATTATTCAGATTGTAATCAAAGTCTGATAATAAAAATAGTTCAAAAATACTAAAATAATAACTATTCTATATAGTTTATTTAAAAACAGTCATGTTT